ACACTGATGCGGTGTCAGCGGCTGCAGCAGTTCCTGTTGGAGGGCGGGGCGCTGCTGGCGAGGCTGGCTGGGTGTTGGGCTGCGGATGTGCTGTTGCTGAATGACACGTGCACCCATCTGCTGGGCGTGCGGCAGGGGACGTGCGCGAACTTGACGCTGGACGGGCTCAAGAGGCTGGAGAGACAACAGAGACAGCACGAGGGTGGTGGCGGTGGTGGTAATGTTGGTGGGCAGGAAGGGGACAGGGCCATCATCCAAGTGCTCACGGTGCGATCGACAGATTCACTAACATACATCTGCGCACATCACACATCACACATTTGATTATCAATCCCGAATCTCGTGCGTGAAAGTACGTGGCTTCCTTCGTCTGCCTGCAGGTGTCCGACCACCCCTATCTCGCAGAAACGCTCAACGGCGCCGTGACTTTCCCCCAGAACACCTACGTGCAGGGCCCATTATCCCCCTCCTCCCCCGGCGGCACCCACGCACACCCCCGGACACGCAGCCAATCCAGACGGTCGGCGGCGAGGGTGGGATCGGTCTTCAAGAGAAGGCGCGCCAGCTCTCGGGCGTCATCTGTCGGTGGCCCACAGGGTGAAGGCACGTCGTCCACAGCCCCCTCGCTGTGTGTGAGCTGCTGCGTGCCCGTCAAGGGGACGGGAGGGCGGACTGTGGGGGTGATCCGGCTTATGGATGGGCAGCCGAGGCAGAGGCCTGAGAGACTACCCGTGGCAACCATCCAGAGACTCGCTGTCACGGTGAGTGAGTGACGTGACGGGGGCACACGAAATGCATTCATTCCATGGGCGTGTGTGTCTCCATGCCGTGCAGCTGGCTGAGCTCATCTCATGGCTGCGGCGCCTCTCGTCGCCCGTTGGCTCGTACATCAACCTCATGGCCACCATCCCACAGCAGCACCAACAAGGGTCGGCTGCACCACCTAGTATGCAGCCGGCCATACCATCCCTGGCCGACAGCCAGCAGCAGCAGCGCAGGGGCCCGCTGCTGGTAGAGGCGCCGCGCATTAATCGCTTGATCGTCGTTGCGAGGGCTGACGGACGGCTGGAACGGTGTGTGGGTTGACTGACACTCAAAGTGCCTTTGTATGCTGTGTGTGGTGTGGTGTGTCTGTCAGGTTTAGTGGTTCGGTGCGTGGGGTGTTGGGTCGGTCTGATTCGATCTTGCGGGGCGTGCCCTGCTGGGAGTGGCTGCTGGAAAACGACGTGTGGACCAGGCTCATGAGAAAAGTGAGTGGGCTAGCAAGACTAAGCAAGCAGCCAACTAAACAGCCAGCCACACGTGTGGCCACTTCCAGACACACACACACAGAAGCTTCCCCCTCTCCCATCCTCTACCAGATGTTCTTCGGCTCCCCTGATGTCACCGGCCCCCCTTCAGCAGCCACGGCAGCAGCAGCAGCAGCAGCAGTAGGAGCAGCAGACGAGCTCTCCCCACCGTCAGGGCTCTACCACTTCAGCCAGCAGAAGATCATGACCTACGCCAACACCAACAGCAACGGGGAGGGCAGAGAGGGCGCTGACGGCGGTGGTGGTGGGGCGGCCAGGAACGTGCCGTGCGCCCACTATGTTCAGAACTTCCATTGGCTCGTCAAGGGCCGCCACGTGTACTCGGGCAATCTGTCGGTGGCCCCCTACCTTGATTGGGTCAAGGGCAGTGCGTGGGTAGGCAGGCAGGCAGGCAGGCAGGACACAATTGGGGTGCACGCCGTCAGCCTCTCTCTCTCTCTGTGTGTGTGTGTGTGTGTATTGCATTAGGTGTTCATCATGTTGACTGACATCCGGCCATTGGCAGGGTCGGTGGTGGTGCCCCTGCCAATCGGCACATCATCACCTGACAGCCGGCAGGCCAAAGTCGCCGCACCGAGAGGCGAACGAAAGTAAGAAGCCTACCAATCCCCCCCCCCCCCCCCC